CCGGTATTTTCCATTCCAGCTCATTTTATTGTCCCCTGTAATACCAGACTAAAGACTAAGCAAGCTATGATCCTGTTTCAATCCTGCTGTTGTCAAAATTCGGAGGATGGTGGTGCCTTGAGATGGGCAAATGTTACTCAGAGTACCGAGTTCCAAATATTTTACTCAAATTGAATCAATAATAGGAACTAAATCACTACTTCAGTTAACACTTTGACTGCGGGAGCTCATTCGCGATTTTCTTCCATACGTTGCATCCTGAAATCCACAAAGATGTCTAAAAGAACGGATTTTTTTTTTTTGCATAAATTTGTTTAAAATGCTATTTTGAGTCGCCCTGCAAGATCTTAGCTTTCAAAAATGCAATTTTCCTTTTTATTAAACTTTTAAAAAACGGATATGCCTTCCCGGCAGCACATAGCAATGCAAAATTAGAACGGCAATCCCACAATACCTCGCTTTCTTGCATATTTGCTCATTTCTGAAAAGCAAAATAACTGAAAATCACCACAAAAATAACTGTAAGTGATCATAAATTTTAAATTATATTATTTCTAAAAAAAGGAAACCGACGGCAGGAATCGAATTATATATTTCTTTGTCCTTACAATTTCTTTTCTTACCTAAAAAAGTTTCATATGGATAATAGTACAGTTATAAATTTTATTTTTGCACTTAATTTTATTATTATAACATTTATTTTATTTCAAAAACATTTAAATAGAATATAAATGAGGTCATGGTTATGACAAAAATAACAGAGAAAGGAAATAACTTGGGTTCAGAATAAATCTGCAACTGATAGCTTGCAAGTAGTTAGAATCTGGAACAATGGCACTGAGTTAGCTACAGGAGACTAATGAATGCACTGACCAAACCACAAGTCACATGGTGAAGACATGACTTGCCTCTACCTGTTTAATTGATGACCAGGAAGGTATATATCCATCTTTCCCCACTTTGACTACAGCTGTGTGGTGTACGATGGCCTCTCGGTGGAACTGCGTGATAGACTCAAAAGACTTATGAATTGCTTCGTAAGATTTGTAATCGGAACCCCGAGACGCTCCCGTGTCTCCCACCACTACACTGAGTTAGGGTGGCTCTTCCCCTCCTTAAGAAGACAATATTTCCTTGGCACTTTCCTTTATCAAATCATTACCGATCATCGTCCTTCTTATGCCTACAACCTTCTCCAATTTAAGTCCTCAATCCATTCACTCACTACAAGATCCCGACCCTCTGACCTATACATCCCTTCTCATAGATCTGCCTCATTCCAAAATTCCTTTATAGCCCGCTCTGTCAACTTTTGGAATTCCCTCCCGATCAAAATTCGACATGCCCCTTCCCTGTACACATTCAAAAACCTCCTATTCCAATTCCTGTTCCAAAAACAGTCAGATACCAGCTAACGATTAATATTATATATGTATTGTGTAGCAATCATAAGGCCACACCAGTGACCCAACTCTTAACAGGAAGGCATGTATCCCATCCACAGTCAAAAGGTTAATCGTTTGACATAAACTGAAGTAGTAATTAAATTCTTTGGTACTGAAAAAAGGTCTGTATTTGAGTAAAATACTTGGTACTCAGTACTCAGAGTAGCATTTGCCAATGTTTGGGTTCCTATGATTCCTGGGTTTCCCTTCCCCATACTTCGCACTTAACTTCATTCATCATAATTAGAATCAGGTGTATAGGATTTGCTGAAGTCATTAATTATGTTGATTAGTGTTTTAATCTTAGCATCATCATTTAGCAATGAACCATAATGCCTCCTTTATCTGGATAGTACTTCATCCTAATTCAACATTAAAGAAATGTCTTCATTTCTACATGTTATAGATAAAGAAAACTTGATCGACCTTAGCTCAGATTTACCAAAAGATAAGATTATAAGTATCTAATACATTATGTTGTTGTTCTACAATAGTTCAAAACTCTTTTAAAGTACTTTTGTATTAAATGGCAAGAAAAAGTGCATGCCGCTAAAAAATATTTCTATTAGTTTTTCTCGGTTTGAGATGAAATATTAGTCCCAGAATAAATAAAGAATTATTAAATATATGTATATATGGTAAAAATAATAACTTTTTATTTTTAAGTTTCTTTATAAAAAAAAAAAAAATAATAAAAAAAAAAAAAAATAATAAAAATAAAAATAAAAAAAATAAAAATAAAAATAAAAATAAAATTATAGACGCACCCTTTTATGTCTCAAACCTCATGTTACACACTGACCTTAACATTCCTTTCATCGCAGCAACTGCTACTGACCGCTTTAATAATTTTAATGACAGACTGACTCTAAATTCAAATCCACTTACTCAAGCTTTATCTACTGCCACAAATCCATATAATCAGGCCCAGAAGACTGTTGAGGCGCTGGCCAAGAGACTTATTGCATTGAGCTACTTGCTGCATTATCTTTTTTGTGTGTGTGTATGTTATTATGTATGTGTTATTTTACTACTGTTTTTTTTTGTTGTTTTTTTTTTGTTTTGTTATTACTATTCTTTTTTTTATGCTATCATTTCTTCTCCTTGATATCATATTTGTTGAATACCGAGGTAGATGGCAAATTTATTGTGAGCCACGAATATGTATAACTAATAAAAGTTTATTTAATTTTGATTAATTACATATATCTTTTATTTTCAATATTTTATTTAGTTATTATTTTGCTTTTATTTTATTATTTATATTTCCTGTAAATATGGAGAAAATTAACTATATTTTCATTAAAACTATTTTCTTTATTGTGACAACATGTCATATTACTCAATAAAATAATTTCATTAACTTCATTAGCTCTGATAATAGATTTAAATAATTACATACTTGGGATGCATTTAACAAAAGGAAACCACTCCATAAAACATTCAAACTGAGTTAAATGTTATTTTGAATGGGGCAAGTTTTTACTATTATTCAATAGAATTCGGGTTGAAGTCCCCCCAATTGAGTTTTTTTTTTTCTATATTTTTCCTGAGAGTGATATAAATATTTAAACAATCACAATATTATATAATTGTTTCAAATTATAATACATATAAATGTAGCTACTAAATGTAAGCATCTGTTAGAGAAAAAAAAAAACCATACAAGCATCATTGCTCCAGTAGTTCTGTTGCCTTTTTAAAAGCTCAAATTTAAATCCTGAATCCGCTACTGATGTCAGGGACATTTAGTGGCAATAATTATTTTTTATGTTGGATTAAAGGCAAATTTAGTGACAGTGGGAATATATTGATTGGAAATAAATTTAAGTAAGGCAAGTTTACGTATTGACCCTATATCCAAATATTTTTAAGATCAATCATTATTATATGTTTTTATCAATATTTCCATTTTTCTGATTTAGAATTCGTTATCTTCTCACTAAGATTAACTTGTAAATTGTATTATAAAGATTAAATTCCTCATATCACAGGAGTTACTAAGCCTATTTATCATTCTTGAAAAGATTTTGGGATCATTTGAAATTAGACCATAATCCACATTAACACAAAGTTGTGCTATCAAAAATTTTGAAAGGGAAACTTTTTTTAAAGGGTTGTAAATTTTTCAAGGAAGCCATATTTTAGTGGGGTTTCAATTTCATCGAATTGTTCAAGCAAGAAACAAGAGGAAAACGTAGAATAGTCAGCAGAAAGTGTAATTTTATATAAACTGCAATTTATTAAATTCTAATTTCAACTTCACGGTTTTGAAAAAAAGCATATAATTTCGTAAGGGAAAGAGTGGCATGTGATACTGTCTTTGAGAAGAGGGTCTGATTATGTTGACATATTGAGGACAGATAGGCATAAATAGGGGATGGAAAGGTGACAAGCACCAGGGTGCCTCAGCCCAAAGAGAGACTTCAAAATAGAGACTATTTAAAAAATGTTTGCTGTTTCACTTTCATGGGCCATTTGTGGTGAAGGCATGCTCATGGCCCAGTTTCAAACATATCTTTAGTTCTTCAACATTCTGTGATAACGATATGCTCTTGATAGTGAATACTTTCTCATGAAGTGAGAAATCTTGTTGTCACTTTGGTGCCCCATTTACTTAACTCATTCTTTTTGGAAATGATATTTCTCAAGTTTCACTTCAGGATGACATCTAACAGAACCTCTAGCGGATCCAGGATTTAATTTTGGGGAGGAGGGTGGCTTCAGCCCGAAAGATTTTTTTTCATATACATATAAAGATAATTAATTTGAAAAAAAAGAAAGAAATTAACTACCTAAATGAAATGGTGTTTAAGTGGTTCTTGAAGTCCTATTAAATGCAATTAAATGAACAAGAATACTTTAAGAGATAGTTTTTAATATTTTTTTCTGTAAAACATGATTATATTTTACCATTTGGGGGGAGGGGAGAGGGCTTCAGCCAACAAGCAACGTAAACAAGCATTAATCTTAGAAAAATAATTGGTATAGACACTTATGCAAAAGAATAATCAATAAAATTTCATAATTAGTGAAGCAAAAACAAGAGATAATTTCCATCCTGCATTGTTAATCTCTGTCCGAACTTAATTTATTTATTGGATACCCTATACAGTGCCGGCCTAAGATATTTAGGTTCCGGGGCAATGTCATCTCTCCCTCCCCCCTAAAACAATTAAATTAATTTCTTAAGCTGTTTTATATTATGCAATACTTGAATTTAATTTCATTCAGTTCATTTATTTCTCTATATTTTTTATATTTCTCTAATACAGTTCCCTTTCTTTATAGGGTTTAGGGTAGTAAATAATTTTAATACATTTATTATTTTTTTTTAATTCCTTACAAGTGGCGAGCGCACCCGCTGATCGGTGCCTCGGGACAATTGCCTGGTCCTAAGGCCAGTATATACTTATTTAATCTATAGTTATAAGCTAAAGAACTTATTTAAATGGATTAGTTTATTACATGAATGAAATTGTGGGAACACAGTTAGTATGAAGTATAAAAATGTTATTTTTCTTAGGTTATAAATGGTTTAATAAGAGAAACACTTGATAGTCAAAAGGTTTATTAATAAAATAAATTACAGAAGTGTTTGGTTGATTTCCTTCGGCCTGGAAGTATTTCTGTAATATTCTGAATAATTTAAATGATAATTTACTTTAGTTTTGAATTTTGTATTTTTTTCATTGGCATCCTCATTAAAAATGGACAGAAAAATGATTTCATATCATTTGTACAATTAACTTATATATATCGTCTCTTAAATAAGTGTTGTTTCGTTCTTTAACACAATTTTATTTACAATTATACTTTCACCTACATATGAATAACTATTTACAATGATATTAACTAGATGCCTTTCTAAATTGTACAAGAAAATAAAATAAAACATAACTTAATAAAGTTAAAACAAATCACTTGATAAAACAAGAATTTATTGTTAAATTTTATCACAAAGCCTAAATCTTAAAACTAGAACATTATGAGTAATATTAAATTTACAACAATATAAAAATAAACTAGACTGAAAACGATCTACAATGTACAATGTTATACATATTCAAAAAATAATATTGTAAAAAAAAAATATATTAAAAAAATCTTCATAAAGAAATAACATAGAAAATACTAATTTCTTGACATGATTCTTGTGAGCTCTTCATTATACTTCATTTTGTGATTTCAAATAGTATTAACATTATCAAATTATTAACAAAAGGTTTTGTTTAAACCAATATGGTGACAATGTAGTTTAAAATATCACATATTTTTTGTGTCTTTTTAAATTTAAAATGATCATTTTTTTTCAGCCTGGTGTGTTGAAACTAATCTGTTTTTCCTTTTTTTTAAAAACTTATACATAATTAAAGTATAACAACTTTTGTACATAAATATTTTAAAATATCCCATTGGTATACAAAACAATGAACTTTAAATGCTTTCTCATTTTAAATTTTATTCCTATAATACTTACAAATTTGCATCCAGTGCATTGAGTAGTATTACAAATTGGGAAAATGGCTTGAGATCACTTAAAGAATGAATTTTGTAACTTCATTAGAATCATTTATAAATCAACACTTGTAAAATTAAAATAATGAAATACTAAACAATCAGTATAAATTAAAGAAACAAACGTAACAACCAAGAGTACTTCTTTTAACTTAATTATTTGAGTGTTATATATTTACACCTTTTTTATAAAGATATAGAGCCAAAATAATATCTTATTTATTTTACTATCATGGCTAAAAAATACTTGTGAACACCTCATTTCACAATCATACTAAAAAAAATCTTTAATGTAACTGATAAAAATAATAAATAAATACAGTGGAATGAGTTAACAGGTGTTTTTTTTTCTATGAAAAAAACAAAAGGCACATTGCTAAAACTTTGCAAATCAACATGTCTTTCTCATATATTGCCATTTAGTTGAATTCTTAAAAAAAAGAAAAGGCACTCTAAGTGGCAAGCAGGAAACATCTTAATCCCTGAATTGCTTAATATCTAAAAGTGAATGAGCTAGTTAGAGAGAGGCTGTGGAGTTTAACATGGTGGCATTTCCAAGCATTTGTACAACTGGCTCCTCGACAAATGGAGGAATTGGAAGATCTGGTACTTGTCCACTGTATTCTTTAATAATATCAAGTATACTGGTATAGGAACCAAATATGAGAGCAAGAAATCCAAATATAAGGATCACAATGTTTTTCCATACAACCCAATTACCTGGGCCGAAACCTACATCCCAATATACAATAAATTCAATAAATACTGGTATGATAAGTCCCAGAAATGCAAAACAAAGAGCACCGATCAAAGCCAAAAACGGTCCAATGGTAGGAACAGCTACAGCCAGCAACACTAAAACCAAAAATATATAATAACATTATTGATAAACTAAAATGAAAAGTTGTATTAATAAAAATATTACTAGTTTAATTATTAAAAGATCTTAAATAATTTAATTTATATTTTCTCCTCTTGTATTTATTAACCTGCATTTGATAAAGGATTGACCTAATAAAGATTACAAATGTTTCTATTAAAATAATCCTTAATAGTAAAAGACATTGTCATGCAATTTATTTGTTTTGACAAGCTGTAACATATATTTAAAACAATTTGTTTCAGCTTGTATGTCATTTGAAAGGGTGGTTTGTAACAGCAATGAGTATGTATAAATATAAAGTATGCATAAGAACTTTGTTGTTGATGCCTTATCCAAATGACACGAAGTTTAAAGTCCAGGAAAAACACTTCTATAGTGATAATTATGAAACTAAGGCAAATACTAGCTAGGTTTGAATTGTCAAAGAGTAATGTTTCTGAAAATCATCAAATACCATTCAGAGAAATTCAACACATTTTGTAAGTGGAATGGGGTTAAACAAATCACATTCGTCATTATTCAAAACAAATGCACTTGCAGAGTGGGATTTTTTAAAACATTCAAAAGAAAGTTTATTATCTGTAGAAAAGATATGCGATAGAGATATATGCCTTGCAGAAATTTCTTTTCTCTTAACATATTTCTATTGCAGAATTTTCCTGGCATTGGGATTTCTTAGGATAAAATTATCTTCCATTCTTGACAGATTAAAGCCAGATGTCGAGGATGTTATGGAAGCTAACACTTTGAAGATGAAGAAGCATCACAATATAGGGTTGAAGTATTAAAAGTTTTATTGGTGCAGGTGAGGAAGAAGTAGGAAAATAATGGCAACAAGAAAGAATCAGCAGGAACAGTGGATAGCTGAGCTATGAATATTAGGTAGAAGTTGGGAGTTTAGTGACGGGGAAGGAAGTAGATCACTTTAGAAAACAAACTAGAGGAATCAATGAGGAACTTAGTTCCAATGGGACCACATACCAATGAAAAAGAGTTTGATGAATCAGAAACTGAAATGAAAGAAGTATATTCGTATAGAGAAGTAATAACAGTTTGGGCTATTAAGCTTGTCATTAAAACACATATTCATAATAATTTAATTGAAGAATGCAGAAATGATTAAGTATTTAAGATGTATATTCTCAGGAGAGCTACAGTTCAATGAAGATTCAGTGACCAAATTAAATGCAAATCTCAATCTAGTAAACTCTTGCTTACTTAAACCTTAGCAGAAGCTAAACATAGTCAGTCCAGGAGGTACCGAGGATTGGGATTAATCCACTGATAGTGGAAGGCTCCTCTTCATATTGGTCCATTGCTCATCGGCAGCCCAATGTACCAGATGCCCTTTTCCAATCAACTTTTGATTATTCGGTTGAAGTTGCTGAATGTGCCGAGAGATTGGGGGTTGAACAGGGACATCAGAATATGAGAGTTCTACAAGAAAATTCTTTTAAGGAATGGGCCAGTTGCGGATTGCAGGGCATTGGTGTTTGCCATTTTAAAGACCCTAAATCGAATAAGCACATGTATGAAAAACAAATACTTTCTGGATCTGAATGGTCAAAAAGCCAGAAACTAACTTACAAACCCTTGTGTGGAGTCCCAGTTGTAAGCGGACAGATCACAGAATTTGGGTCCTTTTGTCAAAAATGTAACAAAGAGCCTGAAATACCAGCACATGTGCAGAAAGAAGCCCCAACAACTCCCTCCTTACAACACGCCGTCACTGCCAGATAAAACACAAATTGATGAGGCTCCTTAAAGAGAGAGATTTCACTTGTTTATTGTTGCGATATGACCACACCGCCTTCCCTGAGAGAGGAAAGTCGGCAATCATTCTAATGTGAGATACAAAATCAATGATCTTGATGAGGCAGGCAAGGTGGACCGAAAGGAAAGGGAAATATTCGAAAAATGAATATATTTCCTTGAGTAAAAGTTCTGCTAGGACTTTGGGGCAGGAGACTTCAACGTGAGAGGCCTTTGGTTCAGAGTTCACGGAACAATACCAAACTCAATAAGGAGCTTCATGGAGAGCCTTGATGTCGACATAAAGAACATAGCAAGATTGGGTGAAAACATAGTCCTTGACTCCCTGGGAATCATTCACCACCCTGTACATGGATAGGCTGAGAGTTTATTCATGGGAATCTATTTATTGAAAATGTTTATTACATTTGTTTATATTAAATTTTATTCTTTAAAGTAAATTTAAATTCTTGTTGTTATTGTTTTCATTGTATAATTGTAAATATTCTTCTTCTTCTTAATCGTTTCCTCTTCTACCGCTGTGCGGTGTGAAAAGATTTTTAAATATTTTAAACATGTATGTTTATTATACTCATATTTTTTCAAATAGTAATGTATATTTATATATATAAGTTTTATTGCTTGTCCATAGTGATTAACTCGTACGCTTTTTATTTAGCAAGCCAATATAAATGGGCAGCAATCTTTTATATAAAAATAAAGTGTTTCTCTCTGATTAAAACAATATAGTTAAAAACAAAGTGTTTTGTTGTGGTTCAATTATTAATGAATCCTTGTGAGATTAAATACAATTACATAAAATATATAATACAGTATATATTACATATACAATACATCAACATTTCTCATAGGTTAATTAATTTGTTACCTGCGGTAGTAGTAAGGATTGTCCTGACAATGTATTCATAAAGCTTTGCATTATTCTTAAAACGATCTTTGACTCCATCCCAAACAATTTCAAGGCATACATAATATTGAAGACCATATGTGCAGAAGACAGCCAGAGCAACAAGAATTTTCACAGCCTGTGCAGCACTATAACATGATCAGAAATTATAAATTAATTCGCTCAACAACATTTTCAGCTCTAAATTTATTTCCAGAAATATAATCATTTAAGTAAAAACTTTTTAATATGAAATACCAGTAAAAACTTGTAAAAAAACTTTTTACAAACTATATAGTGAACTTTGACAAATCGAGAATATTGCTGGAGTAAAAAATATCTTATTATAAAAAAAAAATTAGTATGAAAAAGAAATTATATTAATAATTTAAAAAATAAAATATTATGATCACTCATTTATAACTGAATTTAAGAGAAACATGTACACTCCCCATCTCAGATAGTTTTATCAGAAAACAAAGATTAGTTAAGAGAAAGAATTAATGCAGAGCTAAATTATGTAGGAAAACTGTTACGGATTCGGATAACGCATTCCAGCATTTCTTTGCTTTATTTGAAGGCTACTATTTCTTATAATATTATCTTCTTAAACCTAATTAAAGTCCATATTTTCTCCTGACATTCTTTAAATATACTAGAAGGTTCAAATAATAATTATTTGAAATGATGTAGAGATGGTTGACCGTTGATATGATATGAGAAGGAATTAGTCGAGGGTGCGGTCAAAAAAATAAAAAAAATTAAAATATATAAATAATTTTAATTTTTGCCGACGAAAGGTCGTCTTCAGGGCGTTGGATGTGGTACTGCGGGAGGCGGTTGAAACACTGGGTCGAAACGTGGGCAAAAATTAAAATTATTTATATATTTTAATTTTTTTTATTTTTTTGACCGCACCCTCGACTAATTCCTTATCAAATAATTATTTGAAATTAAAGTAGTTATTCTCTGAATAATAATAATGATAGATTGAAGTGAAAAAACTGAAGAAAAAGTTAGATATAAGTCTGAGTGGCAAGTGTTCCTATCACATATGCATAGTAGATGCTACCAGCTAAAAGATTGAAAAAATAATAAAATTCAATGATCACAAAACCATAATAATAATAATTATTATTATTATGGTTATATAAATATCTGGGAATGCAACATCTTAAAATTGCAAGAAAAGACATGCAACAAGACCTTCTGACAATGTTTAAAATTAGATTGTGGAAAGTGCTCAAAACCCAGCTAACCGGGAAACAAAAAATCAAGACTATTAACACCTGGGCAATACCTGCTCTCGGTTATAGTTTCGGCATATTGCACTGGTCAAGCACCAGCCTACAGGAGATCGACCGCCTTGTGCGAACAACTCTCACACAAGAACGGGCCCACCATCCAATATCCTCCAAAGCTCGTCTGTATTTGCCTAGGAAAGAAGGAGGACGTGGTTTGCTAAATATCGAAGAAGCTTGCCGCAAGCAGGAAGCGGCCCTACGCCGATACTTTCTTACAAAAACAACTGAGGTTTACCTCGCAATCTCAAGATTGGATTATGGTCTAACCGCACTTAACCTGAGCAATCGTGAGGTCTCTACAATCGTGTCAGAAAATGAACGCTTGACAGAATGGAAAAATAAATCTCTGCACGGAAGATTCTACAGCAAATTAAATGATAGCTTGATTGACAAGGAAATATCCATTGAATGGCTGAAAGCTGGAAAGATATTCTCCGAGACAGAAGGATTTCTGCTCGCCATCCAAGACCAAGTTATTGCTACTAGATCATATAGAAGGCATGTTCTTAAAGACGCAACAACTACAGATAAATGTCGATTATGCTCAGCGACGCTGGAATCAATCCAACATGTCACAGGTGGGTGTGGAGTGTTGGCTGGCACCGAGTATCTCCAGAGGCATAACAATGTGGCTAGAATTTTTCATCAGGCTCTGGCGGTGAAGTTTAACTTGTTAGATGACAAAACTCCATATTATAAGTACCACCCAAATAAACTCCTCCAAAAAGGTAGTCTCAAGCTATACTGGGATGAATCGATTATAACTGACCATACTGTGCGTCACAATAAACCAGACATCCTTCTGATAGACACGAGAGAGAAAAGAGCAGAGCTTATTGATGTCGGGATCCCCAATGATAATAATATAAGCTCCACTGTTGGAGAAAAACTGAGAAAATACCAGGAACTGGCAATCGAACTGAAGGAATTGTATCATTTGGGGAGCGTCACCACCACTCAAATTATAATATCCTCCAATGGATTGATACCAAAGACAACAGTGGCAGGCACGAAGGGATTAAAATTACCTCTTGAAGTGCTGAAAGAGGCTGAACACTTAGTTCTCTTGGATACGGCACGTATTGTTCGAAAGTTTTTAAATATCTAAAAGGTGATAGATATTAATCTGAAGTGGCTGGACTTCTGGTCTCCCACCTCAGAAACTTACCCCGCAAAGCGAGAATAAAGAATGGAAATAATAATTATTATTATTAGAAAACAAACTGAGTGAAGCAATTCTAACAGAGCATATTCTGCTTGAGGGAATTCCGCTTTTGGAATGACCATCATTACCACGAGTGCCATATAACAAGACCACGCTGAGAATAACTAATGCGATGAATAATGTTCTTAAAGATCACTTGGACTTAATTGATGGTCTCAAAGATATTCCTCATTGGATGTATATTGCTGCCAAGTCAGTTATAATGGAGCTTGGTATAAAAATAGAAGACAAAATAAAACTTCCAGTGGGTAGTAAAGGAATTCCATAATGGAAAAAAAGACTTCAAAAGAAAATTAACACCTTAAGGGAGAAAATCGGCATAATTTCAAATTATATTCGTAATCCACAAACTGCAAGAGCCAAGACAAAGAAAAAGATAGATGAAATCATAGTCGAAAACTTGGGTACAGTTATGGAAAATAAATTGACCGATAGACTGACGCTATATCTGGATAATCTAAAACAGAAATTAGCAGTTTTTGCAAACAGATTGCGTAGGTATAGTGAAGCAGCTTTACGGAGGCAGCAGAATCACATGTTCCAACAAAATGAACGCCAGTTTTATAGGAACCTTAGACAAAAGGTCGAAAACACCGAATCATTACCCTGAAGGCATTGAAGCGTACTGGAAAAATGTATGAGAAAAATCAACGAATCACGAAGAGATCACGAACGCCCTTGGATAACGGAAGAAATTTCCCATTTTCAATGTGCTTCTGAGATGCAAGAGGTAAAAATTACAACACAAGATGTTACGGAAGCTGTTAGGAAAATGAAACTGAGACACCTGGTCCAGATGGAGTCCAAAACTATTGGATTAAACGATTTAGGTGCTTCTATGAATTGTTGGCCAATAGTTATCAAGATATACTGGATGGCAAACAGAGTCCTCCTACTGATTTCTCTGATGGGATCACGTATATGCTTCCGAAAAAGGATGAGTCAAACTTACGTTCTGAGGATTTCCGCCCAGTAACATGTTTAAATCGTCTTTATAAGATTCTGACCTCCATCTTGGCAACAAAGATTTACGAACACTTGGAATCTCAGAGCATGATACCCACCGAATAGTTAGGATGCAAGAAAAGGGCTAGGGGCAGCAAAGAACTTTTAGTAATAGATTCATTTATTGCCGCGCAAGTATCAAAAAGCCAGCGAAATCTTTCTGTTGCGTGGATCGATTATCAAAAAGCTTTAGGTTCTGTACCACACAGTTGGCTGCTCAAAGTATTGGAAATATACAAGGTTCAACCTAAAATAAGCAAACTTCTTTCAAATTTAATGGCAGACTGGGCTACCTCGCTGAATATAGGAGCAATCCTGATAAACCAAGAAGATCACATTAAAGAGCTACAAGCACACCAATTATATAAATATTTAGGCATGCAACAAAACCTTAAAATTGGCCGAAGGGACGTGCAACAACAGCTTCTGACTGTGTTCAGAAAGAGATTTCGACAAGTACTCAGGACTCAGTTATCTGGGAAGCACAAAATTAAGGCCATTAACACCTGGGTCATACCAGCTCTGAGCTATAGCTTTGGTATAGTACAGTGGTCCAATACCAGTCTACAGGAGATTGATCGTCTAGTAAGAACGACACTCACACAAAAGAGGTCTCACCATCCAACATCCTCCAAAGCCCGCCTGTATTTATTTAGAAAGGAAGGAGGTCGCGGACTTCTAAATATAGAGGAAGCATGTCGAAAGCAAGAGCCGGCGCTACGACGATATTTTCTTGCAAAAACTACAGGGATTTACCTTACTATAACTAATATGGGTTCAGGTCTAACGGCACTCAATTTGAACAAAGCCGAAGATTTCACAGTTGTGTCCGAAAATGAAAGGCTGTCAGAATGGAAAAGCAAGGCGCTACATGGCAGATACTACAGCCAATTGAACGAAGCCTCCATAGACAAAGAAAAATCTGTGGAGTGGTTAGCGGCAGGAAGGCTATACTCTGAAACAGAACGGTTTGTAGTCACCATTCAAGATCAGGTCATTGCCACCAGGTCATATAGGAGGCACATTCTTAAAGACACTACAACAACTGATAAATGTCGACTTTGTTCAACGACGTACGAATCAATCCAACATATCACAGCTGGATGTGGAGTACTCGCTGGTACGGAGTATCTGCAGAGGCACAACAATGTGGCGAAAATATTCCACCAGACTCTGGCTGTGAAACTTAACCTGTTGGATGAAAAGGTGCCATATTACAAATACAATCCGATAAGGCTGCTTCAGAAGGGTTCCCTCAAGATGTATTGGGACGAATCTATAATAATGGATCATACAGTGCATCACAACAGACCCGATATCCTTATTAGGGATTTAGGAGCAAAGAAGGCAAACTTAATTGATATCGCGATTCCAAACGATAACAACATAAGCACGACCGTGGGAGAGAAGCTCCGTAAGTACCAAGAACTGGCGATTGAATTAAAGGAGTTGTACCATTTGGGGAACGTATTGGTTACACCAATAATAATATCAACCAATGGTCTCATTCCAAAGTGAACGGTGGCAGGTACGGACGGCTTGGAATTACCTCTGGATGTGTTAAGAGAGGCTCAGCAAGCGGTTCTCTTGGATACAGCGAGAATAAAAAGAAAATTTTTAAATATCTAAAATATCATAACTGCAGGTGGTTGGACTTGTCCCCCACCTTCAGCTTTAAATCCGCAAAGGTGAGAATAAAAAAGATAATAATTATGAGTATTTTTATCATATATTTCTTTTTTTACTTGATATACAAGGATATATAAATAAAAATGATTTCTTCCTTCATTTTTTCATTGACAGCATGAAAATTATTTATTGCAAATAAAACATCAGTTATCTCTAATTAATTGTGGATTGATAGTTGACTGTAGTGAATAATTGAAGAGAAGGATGGTTAGGGTGATCAGTCAAAATAAAAAATAGTAAAAATAAATAATTATATTTATTTTTATGTTTGCCGACGTTTCGGCCTGAAGTTCAGGTCTTCATTAGGGCTGGTCAATGCAAGAAGTGTGGTAAAACCACGCTGGTCTTAATGGTATTTACTTGATGGTCTTGACTTCTTGGATTGACCAGCCCTGATGAAAGCCTGAATTTCAGGACGAAACGTCGGCAAATATAAAAATAAATATAATTATTTATTTTTTATTTTGACTCATCAACCCAAGCATCCTTCTCTTCAATTATCTCTAGTTAAATATGATAGTATAAATAACATAGAAATATTAATTCAAAATTACTTACTAATCTTCTGTTGGAAGATTGAGAGTAACACTACCAAGAGTGGCATCTCCGTACTTTAAGTAACCAAGGAAGCCGAGAAAGATGTAAATCATCGTTACACCGCCCATTCCCTTATTCAGGACACCACAGATTCCAACAAAGTGTTGAGGAGTCTTCATGTTATTTTCTAATGGCATCACCTAAACCAAATTATGGCCATAATATAATAAGTCTGATATAATTGATGTAAGTATGTATATATAATAAATATCTGTATACCAATACATAGAATACCCTTTTTAATGAATATTAGACCAAGACTACTTAGTCTATACAATATCATCAATAAATCATAATTAAATATTTACTGGGTAAATGTTAAGACAAGTCATATTTATCATCAATAAATCATAATTAAATATTTACTGGATAAAGGTTAAGACAAGTTATTACATTCAGTTTATTATTAAAAATTATTTTAGTTCTTAATATGAAATATTTTGAACTTAGTGATTTACATTAAGCATCCCATAATTATACTAGAATATTTTAACTTAAATCTGATCAACAATGTAATGCAATGAAAATTTAAAAAAATATATTGTTATGAGTAAATCTTAAAACTCGTAAAAAACAATATATTATTAATTACTTATCAATTAAAGGAATTATGGAATATTAATGGACTTATTACATAGTATCATTGTAAAATTAGGGATACGCTTTATCCTTTTTTTTTAATTTAATAGAACTACATACCACATAATGAATATTTATCGAGTGAGTTTAGATAAATAATTTGTAGATTAAAACTTAAAACTTAACTCTTAACAACTGTTTTTAATACTTCATTTTTTTGGTTTGTTGCAGAAGTCACTAAGTATGATTTTTTTATGGAATTATAAGTTTTTGATAGAACTAAACCTTTAAGCATTTTTTTGGGAGAGGAAGAATTTCAACCAAATACATCAGAATGACCCAACCTCTTATGTACATCAAACATACTTACAGTAACAATAAGTACAGTACAGTGTTCTTATTTCATATAGGAAAAATCTATGGGATTACTTGGTGATTTAATTTAATGAAATGTTACCTTGTGACTTTTTGTAATAAACCAAATACAGATCAATGAATTGAATAGTCATTGATAAATCAAATACTTACCACTCCTATAGCTTCCATAGCGAATATAGTTATTGAAAAGAACTGAGGCCAATTCATGAGAGGAGCAACTTGTGGCATATCCCAAGGAGATCCAAGATCCCAAACAAGGTAATAGAAAGTTATTCCTAGACCAACTCCCATAAACACATTAGCTACCATCGACACTGGAGCAAGGTATTTCAGGTTCGGAACCCATGACAGTAGAATTAGGGGAATGAGGAATGCCGATATGTACACCCTAATATTAAGAGGAGAACCAGTGTGATGCTCTATCACCTGAAAATAATTAAATACTTTAAATAATACTCATAATGTTAAAAATATATAAGAATCTGAAATTTTTAATAAAATAATGACAGCAAAGAAAAGCCAAAATTAATAATGTTTTAATAATATAAATTTTGCTTATACTATGATACAAGTTTTTTTAATGTTTTTAAGATGATAAAAGTAATATGAATATGAATATATATATATATATATATATATATATATATATATATATATATATATATATATATATATATATTAATTGAAACCAACACTTTATATGATACGTTATATAGTATAACCATTTCATGAATATAATACTATTATTATTTCTTCAACATAAGAAGATAATGGAATAACTCAATAATTTAATTTTAAAATGTCTAACTTTCTTTAATGTTTATGAAAGTAAGATAACCTTTTTGAAATTATAGACCTGATAAGGTTGATTCTACAATCCAAATCATAAATAAAATTACCTGCTGGAAATTCTGAGCTATAATAACAGTATAAACACTGCAAGTTCCAAAATAAGCAGCAAATAAACCTCCAAGAATAGATATCCTGAAAGCAAACATATTATTACAAAAAAGTTTTCATTTTTATATACTATTTTTTCTATGAATTCTAACAAGGAACTATTTTTTCCCACTAATACAACAATGCAAAAAATAAAGTAGGAGTTTATGAGACACAGATCACTTGATCACACAGAAAAAACAGATCGATCCTTAAAAATCAGTTCATGTTTGGATCCTCTATCAATCTTAATTTACCCTATAAATTACCACAGACTTTCTGGGAAGCACAAAATGTGCAATAATACTTGAGATGGGTTATTAAATTTTTATCAAATGAACTGTGGTACAATAATCTTTTAAAATATTAAATAATTGAAACTATAAAATTTAGTCCGCAAATCTTACTTGGAACTGCACAAAGCATTTGAAGTAACAAAATATTTATATTCTTATTGCGAGTTAGATTGATTGTGGTATACCTAGCTAATTTTGAAAATTTTCTTCCCCATGGTGGTCCATTTGCAAAAGCAACTTCGCCTATATCTGCAAAGCTCATTGCTGTCACCCTCGTTCTCTTGTAAAGAACATGAGCACATTTGACCTGTAAAATGTAAAAAAAAAAAATTATAACAGTTATTAAAAGGAGATAGAATAATACTTGTGATAAATCTAGTAAATGACAAAATACAAATAAAATGGGGTTTCAGGGATAACTGTTTTCCACTCCATTGTATGTTTTTAATGTTTAATTTATGCACTTTGATGATGTTCTCAGCACAGATTAAGATAAATAATTCATTAAAAATTTTAAAACATATTAAATGATGGACATTATAATAAACTCAATAAGGCATAGAATAAGGACAAAAATAACAACTGATTCTTAATTTCAATCAATTTAAAAACTTTACAGTAATATAAATGACTAGGAGTGGGGTAGCTCAGTGAATTAAATAATTGGCAATTAATTAATTGCTTTACAATTAAATAATTAACTAAGGGGAAAAATCTGTTGTTTGAGCGTGATCTCGGACAAATCATCTCCTTACACAACCATTGACCAAGAAACGGTGCTTTTCCTGAATAGTACTGAACCCAAGACCATTCATGGGTTGTAGTTTTGCACTTCAGCCAGATTCCCCTCCTTAATCAATTATTAATTAAGGGTATCCACTTTATAGAGGCTGGATGTGCCCCAGTAGGGTCTCCCAATGCCATGGATGCCCCACGGCAGATGAAACAGAATAAATAAGTTTTCTGCCATGAGCCGGGATTCAGAACTGAGACCTTGAGCATTGGAAGCTATGCGTCCTACCATTGAGCTACTCCACTCTCATTCACACACATATAAGCTACCTAAAAATTGGCAATTCAAATGAAAACATGAAATCGCTAATCTTCAGACAAAGGCTGTCCTCAAGGTTTTGTCATTCCTCTGTGTCTCATGTTTTCTTTGAAAACTAACAGTATGAAGAGGAGTAGGTAATTTTTCAGGTTAAGATTTAACCATCATTGGTTTCCATATTCTATATAGGAATCAGTTTACAGGTGCCCCAACAGAATCAACTGCAGTGTCGCAGGTTAATGTTACTATTGAATGCCATTTATCTAATCATGTTCTTGAGCTACAAAATATCAGTAAATGTCTACTTTTTTATCAGTCTTTGTTGAATTTTCAGTATGTTTTTATTTTTTTTACCTTCTTATCAACAAATGGTACTTTAATGTAAAAATTTCATTCATCTGAATAACCAAAATATTTTGAAACCATATAAATGAGATTTTGAACTAAATCAGTATTATTCCGAAGTGAATAACATTTCAGAACCTCCTCTTGAGGTGTATTCAGGATTTGACTCATCTAACTAATTCCTTTCTTATTGTAATTACACTTTTTACAGTCTAATATGTATTTTCATGAGTATGGAGTGAATAATTATAAGTTTGGATTTTATGTTCTCTCTTTCCTTCTTAAATGTTAAATGTCTCTCATCTGGAAGATTATTCAATTACCCGAATGTTCCAAAATTGTGAATTGATAATGTACCAATAGTAGTGCTGTGCTAATTTTAAAAGACTTTACCCACCTGATTAAATCATAAAATCAAATCAAATTTGAACCAGAAAAAAACAACTTTATTTTTGTTACCAAATAAACAAACAGAATGTGACTGATTTGCATCACTCAGATACAGAGAGAATCCAAGTACGCAAAGCTACCTCCTAAAATGGTCCAACCTTTTGAACTTCATTAGAAGAACCAAAAGATTTGAGACAGAGTTGGAGGTACACTGGACAACCATTGGTAGTATCATCTTTGGAGTCAGCAAAAAGGACCAATAAGCCCACTTGCTGGACTAAGCCCCTCCACCAGTATTAGTACCAAATAAGTAAAACAATTTTTCATAAGCATCACCCATATATTTATATTTTCATTTGTAGCTCATGAGCCTAATGGTTAATAAGATGGGTGATAGATAATCAGAACGAAGTTATAAAATAATATACATAATAGATTTAATAAACGCAATAACTAACATTACTGACCATGTTTTCAGCACAAAGGTATGCAAGTAATGGTAGTCGAAGTATGTAGGTAAGAGGGAGAGGGGCTGGTTCTGATTCTAGACTACCTATCACTCATGATAGGTAAAATAGTCAACGAACTTCTATCATTGATATTTAATAGCTATGATAGTTCGCCAAGCCAAACTTAAAGCTACTATAAAATTCATTTCTGTATTAATATCGCAATAAATTGTCTTAATGAACTACGAGGCAAGGTTAATAGATTTTCCATTGCATGAAAATTTAAAATTAGCATTAAACTTACCAATACATATGCACAATGTGTGCAAACAAGTGCTACAAGGAGAGTGAAAATTATTCCTAAAGCCATTCCAGAATTCTTGAAGGCAACTGGCATCGCTAATATTCCAGTTCCAAGGGATGCTTTTAATAAGTGAGTGAGTGTGTCACAATCCCTGTTAAAACAATGTTAATATAAATAAAATAAATTTGAAACATACTTTCCAAGTTTTAAATAATCATTAGGTCAACTTCTACACAGAAAAATGTATTTCTTGGCCAAGTAAATTATATGGATTTAAGAATAAAATTAACTATGTACCATATGACATTTGTTAATAATGTGGAAAGTAATTTATAAGATTTACAGTAGCATGTAACAAGCAAGTTTTTATGGTTTGTATAAAAAAAAAAAATAAATGGATCAATCAATTTACTGAGAACACAATATAAATTATTAATCTTTTATATATTTGTATTATTTAAAACTTTTACTATTTTTATACTATTAACAAACAAACTTTGTTTCACAAGACCTTTATAAGAAATGGAAATGAATGTTCAAAGAATCAATTTAATTAGACAAGAAATAATAATTTTTTTCATATTGATGAAAGAACATAATATTATTCAATAGTAAATACAAAAAATATATATTTAACTTCATCACTGACTAATAGTTTCTTTAATTCTTTAATTATAAGTTACTAAAAATTCACAAATTTACATTTTCTTTATCAGATAGCTGTAATGATAATATTGAAAGATATAATTCGCTCTTAGGTGAAAGAAAAACTTAATTGATATACATATATAAGCTATGAGTAGAGGAAGATGTTATAAATTATAATTTAACAATCTATTAACTTATATGAGCAGCTTAGGATCAAAACAACAAGAGATTGCTTGTTTGTTAGGAAAAGGGGAGATTGCTTGTTTTGATCCAGTGCAACTTAGATACTGTCGAATATGAATATGGCATGTGGATATATGTAACTATAAATATATGTGTTTGACAACCAGTTTATTTAGAATAAGAACATGAATAGCACAGAATCAAAACTGGTCATAGATTCTTATACTTTCCAAATGCCTAAAGTGTTTTCAGGAACAGAAAATGCATAAGAAATGAAAGATGTAAACTAAACTGAAACAAATTATATTTGTTACAATTAACATTTATTTTATAAGGTTTTTAATTCTCATGTACAAACAAATTTTTTCTGAATGATACAACTCCTTAAGCAGTAATTGAATAATATTTTTTAATTGATTATTATTTTTATAACATTTGTTTAAGTTATAAAAACAATATTCAATTAATAGTTTTAATTAATAAGGACTATATGACGTATAATGTTCTAATAGTTCTAGATGCAAACTTACGTAGTTGGGTGTTCAATTTTTCTTTCTTTAAAAGGATCCCATTCTTTCTTTCCATCAGAATTATTGAGGAATGCTTCAGGATCTCCTCCACTCGCAGGTGCTACTGTAACCTTGTACCTAAGAAAAAAAAAATTACCAAGAAGCAAAAAAAAAAAAACTTATTTATAAACAGAAATATTCCACCAGAAAGAGGATTGAATTGAATCAACTGAAATTGTGTTGTGAACAGCGGAATCATAGCACAAAATAGGCTTGAATAGCCTACAATACATAAATTCATGAAAATAAATATAAAATATTAATTGATAAATTGAAGGAAGTTAGTCGACTGTTCTACACATCATGGGTGATAAATATTCAGGACACAGTCTTTTTTTTTTTTTTAATTTTAATTTTTTATTTATGTCGTTTCAACCCAAACATGTGGGTCATCTTCAGGGCGTGGTTTGAGCACTGAGGGTGTTCAAGTACTGCCAGCACTAGTACTGTTGTAAAAATATAAATGTTAATTATAACAAATATAATTTGTTTCATTCAGTAGCAGTACTTGAATAACCTCAGTGCTCAATCCACACCCTGAAGATGACCCACATGTTTGGGTTGAAACGTTGGCATAAATAAAAAATTATAATTTTTTTTTAAAAAAGACTGTGTTCTGAATATTTATCACACATGAATTGATAAAAGTTATTAGGACAAAATAAGCTTGAGTAGATATAGAATCTAGATTTAGGCTCTGCTTTGGATAAATAATGATTTCCAGATTTATTAGCCATGGATTGTTGACTCTGGAGCTGGGGAAACCTCTCATGGGATCCTCAGTATCTTAGTGTGTAATTAATCATTTAATGGGTGGGAGTAAGAATAATTATTGAGCATGAACCTGCCACATTTCATCAAGGTTTATAACAATACAGAAAAGTAAATAAGTGGAATTATATAAATTAAAAATTATTCAAAATTTGTGTTACAAATAAAGAGTTACTTATAAAGTTCTATGAAATCATGAAAAATGCTAAAAATCATTACACAGCGGTGATTTATCATTTCCAAATAGATATTCCTATCAAACAATAAAATGAGTAAAGCCTATCAAAATTATTTGATAATTTTTGTTTTGTTGCTTTCAATAATAATTCTAAAAATATCTTATATTTCCCTCTCATTTTCGTAAATAGCTTAGATATGGGAATATTAAATCTCTAATTTGCCACTATTTCAAAATGAAATGGCAGTTAATATAATGGTAATATTGAGTTCCCAAGATCATCCTATATGGACTATCCAAATCTGAAAGAAACTGACCAAGTAGTCTCTGAGAATAGTTAATGACACCATATGGAATATGGCTGAATTTAATAGGAAAGTAATAGCAATAATAGAAGGTAATAGCAAAAAGAAACAACTTATTAAGATATATTTGAAAAAAAAAATGAATCCTACACCAAATATTATTATTATCAGTACACTACGTTACCAAAATGTAATGATGAGAAATGAACATTGCAAATCAGTTTATCTCCTAACAGTAGGATACCACTATGAAAGCTGGGCAATAATGTATAAACAATCTGTTAAATAATAATTGCTGAGGGGTTATAAAAAGTAGTCTTCTACGATTTAGAAAAAAAAGTAGCTGATGTTAATTAACAATTCATATTACATGAATGAGGTTCATAAACCTCTTCATTCCATTGGATCCAAGATTGGGAGGTTTACTTTGGAAATATACCACAAAGAACAATAATTACAAATAAGATAGTACTATCAAATACAAATATCAGGGGTTTCCATTCTCCTCCATCCCCCCAATGAGGGTGGCACAAGAACCTCCCTCCCCTTCTCCTCTTAAGATATTTTATTGCTTACTTTTCTTAAAAACAGAACAAGCTAAGGTAGAATGTGAAAAATCGTAGAGCGTTTACGCTATAATACTATATACGCTATAATTACACTTGCTGGGGTATGTTCTGTTTTCCTCTTTAGCCATTTAGTCTGAAAATTCATAACCCCTTTGAAATTTGCCTCCCTCAAAAATTCAAAAACCTGTCAAAATATAGCTGCCTCAAAAATTTTGATGGCACAACTTGGCGCCATGAAACTCCCTTCTGCCCAGGTGCCCATCCCTAACAAATATGAATGAAAACAAAATAATATAGGGAATAAAGAAAAATAATTGCTGGCCATTTTTAAATTTGTATGAAAAATAAGATACAATAAAATTAATGTTGATTTTAAAGAGTACTCACTTAGCTGCAGTTCCATCTTTCATGTTCGATCCATCTTTAGGAAGGAAAGTCTCCAACTCTGTCATGTTCTGTACTCCATTTGAAGTCTGAAAAAAATAGTTGGGTAATTATTACTAATAGAACCCCATTCATAATAATATTGTTGGTTTATTCAGAGCAAAAAATCATTTGTAACATTTTACAAACTGAGCAAGTCAGTAATTTGATCAATTTTTCTATGTTAAATAAGAATATAATTATTTAGTGTAATTATTTTTGATATACAAAAGGGTTTGTCTCACTTTTATGGAATTACTGTGATTTCAGATAGATAAATCAGGTTGAAATAAAAAAAATTACATAATGTTTACCTCCATTTAAAATTTACGTAGTGACTTTTTGCAATAAATGATATAAAGCACAATAACAGTTGAGATAAGAACTACTTTATTTTTTAAATTAAAAATAATAATTTGCATCAATATAGAGATTTAACTGTTCAAGAGCTTGTTTTGTAAAAAAGAAAAAGAATCATCATTCGCACACACAAAAAAGAAGAACATTATGAAAAAAAAATCTCTGAAACATGTAAACATTTTGTTTAAAATAATTGGTTCATTTAAATATATGTTCAGAAAACATTTATGACTTAAAAATCAATTTATGTCATGTCATTATTATTATGTAGCTATTATGATCAGTCTAAACTATGCACAACTAAAATCACAAATGTTATGTATACAAACAAGAACAACTCCAGCAACACCATTTGGGCTCAATTGGAGATCTTTAAAGAGGAAGTCAACCAGAATGAGGTACTAAAAAAGAAAAGATAGATACCATAAATTTATTGAACAAAATGTGGAAAAAAATAATTTAAATGAAAACGGAAAGGAAGGATAACCTCTTTCTTCATCCTGGCGACAACCTCAAAGCAGCAGATAGGTGAAGGTAGAAAGTGTACAGAATGACTGGACCTTTCTTTCCAGTATCTGTTGGCCAACTATCTGTCCTTTGGACTAGAGTGGAATTCACTCAGAGATAACAAAAAGAACCCAATCAATGGCAAGTAAGTAATTGTTATTATTTATCTTATGCTCAACTCAAGAAATTTTGTGATTAATTTCATTTATTTATTTTTCTTATCATTAATCTTGTAGCCTTTTCATTTTATTACTAACAGTTAACATTAAAATAATATTGAAATCATCACAAACAAAGGGAAAACAACCTGAAGAAGTGCCTACCACTTGCTGGTAATAATAAAAAATTAAGAAGCGTATGAGATCAATTAATTTTAGCCTATTAACAACACACATTAATTTAAATATTAAAATATTTAATCAAATATAATTCCAATATAAATTATTATACAAAAGCTTAAGAAATTATTTTATTTAAGGAGTGAAGAAGAAGTAGTAAAAGAAGGAGTAAAGACACTCATGATTGCCTGGGGGGTGCCACTGTCTTAGCCCGGGATGATGTAGATTATTTTGTATATAGTATATTGTAATCCTCTCAAGCATGAAATTTTCTGTTATTTGATAATAGCACACAAGATTCTTTAAAATTAAAAAAAAAAAAAAATCAGGGGTAGATAAAAAAAAACACGCATTTTCACACTAATATTTATTTAGACTTCCAGAATTTCTAAAAGTAACCAAAAAAGAATTGAAAAAAATTAAACCCAACCCATATGCAAATGTGTTGTATCCTGTAATATAATGATCTAAGGTCTGTGTAAAGTTCCTTCAAACTGAATAAATAATTTATACATATGTTATAAGTACATATGAGTCGGAGAGCGATCCATGGGAGGGAGAAAAGGTAATTTCCCCACCTAACATAACAGAGAAAAAAAGAAAAACGTTAATTAAAGCACACCAACTAGAACTAATAATCGTGGTTAAGTTATAATTAATTAGTTATAAATTAATTAATTTGAGAAAAATAAAAAAAATAGTTCAGGTTGTAAGAAATCAATCGTTATAGATATTTATTTAACATCGATTAATGAAATCAATTAATTACCTTGTCTAATCCTGCAACAGTCTATCTTTATTAGTTCGAGATATGAAATACGATAGATAATCAATTTATTACTATTTCTTAAGGACAAGGTAATATTCCTCTTTAAGTCTGTGGTAACGCTGATAGCACTTATGTATAAAGCTTGTATATATATATATATATATATATATATATATATATATATATATATATATATAGTGATAATTACTTTGGAAGGAAAAAAAAGGAACTAACTACCTATATGATATGATATTTAATTGATTCTTGAGGTGAACTGAATGAAATCAGATGAACAATAATACTTTTTTATTTATTTATTTTTTTAAATGGTTATATTTTATCATTTTGGATGGAATAATTAATTTTAGTATTTGGTGCTTTGAATATTTCATAGCTTAAGTGTTCAAACTACAATTTAAATATGATAATACATTCTCGAGCGGAAGAGTTGTTAGTAAATAATTGGTGGGGTGCGTAATAAAGTCTTTCTTCATAAAAAAAGTATATATTTCAACGAGCTCTAAACCACCCGTTGAACCTGTTCTGTTTATATAAACAGTGCCGTGAACAATGAAGGATGAATTTTGGTTACCTACAATACATAAACATGAGATAAGACTGCTTAGAGTTGAGGCTGCAATAATAACAGTGTACGGGAGGCCTTGAGCAGTGTCGACTCAACTATACCAGATCGCGATGAAAATCACACATTGTTCTGGATATAAAAATTTCTAATAAGGTGAGATAAATAAATATAATAGGCTATTAGATAGGTGACATTTTTTGTAAATTTCATTAAATTGTCATATGACTGAGCGATCATTACGAAAAAAAAAAATAGGGGAAACTGTTGTCATTTTTTATAGCCTTCTTGGGACTTTTTCTCACATATATCGAAGGATGAATCTAAAAAAAAAATCACTACAGTCTGCTCGAAAATGAAGAACAAAGCGTGTTGCAAGAAAGGCTGATTAAGACACACGCTGAAGGAGAAAAAAAAAAAAAAAAAAAAAAAAAAAAAAAAAAAAAAAATATATATATATATATATATATATATATATATATATATATATATATATATATATGTATGTATGTATATCACTCAATGCTTTGCTAAAAAAAATTATGTGAGTAAAATTTAAAAAGGAAATTACAAAAAAATTGAAATGGCATAGATCGTTCGTTATTCCTTGTTACACTTTAATTTAGAGCATAATCCGTACACATAGTTATGGATTATAAGGTCAAATTATTCAGATTGTTTGAGAACACATATGATTATCTATCTATCTTTATATATCGCAGTGTAGATCCCATTTCCGGCTCTCAGGGGCGATGGGATTTGATGAATGAGGTATAAAACGAAGGGGTACTATATGGAACAGTGACGGATCGTAACACCCCCTCCCCCCAAATTTCAGAGAAAAAAAGTTATAAATGAAAAGTCATACTTATTTGCGAATAACCTAAAAAGTATAAATTTTTTGTCAAATGTACCCACGTTTATTTAAAAAGTTAAAAATTTTCTAAAAAACAAACAAACTAAAAATCATGGAAATAGGATCATTATTAACAAAGATACGTAACGCATGTTTTGGTTTATTATTTTGAATGAGTTAATGTGATTCGACTGAGTAAATTGAAATGATTTCTTATATATCGTAGTATATATCATTAACTTATTTTTGTATTATATTGTCAATTGTTCGCTATCATTCTATGCGAATCATTCGCACGGGGCAACTAGTTTATAATAATTTGTTCGGAAGGTTTAGGTTACCTAAATGAAGCTGGGTAGATGAAGGTTCTCTGATGTATTAGTGATTCGAAAATTGATTTTTTATACAAATATGGTAAGGTGTTATGTGTTTATATTCGCCTTATAGCATAAACAGCCAAAGATCTTGGTTAATTTCAATATTTATCAATGAATTAGATGGATCAGGTCTTCTAAACATTACATTAAAACGACTTTTTAAAACTATAAAACTTTTACTAACTCGAGTTTTTAAATATTTCTTTAGAAGTTACTAGTTCAAGTGACCGGTTGCTGAGTAAAATAAAAGAATAAAACATTGTGAACTTGTTTAGCTTTTTCTGAGTCGTCTCTATCTAACATTAGTTTTCATTTTTCTCAATCAAAGATGTTTTTCTAATCATCTTAAGAGAATTCGTAAACCGTCGATCCCGGAATTTTATTTTTTATACCTCACAGATCTAAACATTCACTATTATAACTAAAGATTGCCTGAAGTTACCATCATAAAAACAATCAGTAATTCACACGTTTTAGAAATTAACATGACTGTTTGAACAGTTGGAATTTCTAATATTTAAAATACACACATTCCATGTAAAAAGTTGACATTGCTATTTTAAATTTTAATAAGCTATGAAAAATCTAGATTAACAATTTAAAGTGAGTTAGCGACTTAATTTATTTCTAGGTTTCATAACTAAACCGAATATAGGTTAGCCACGAGGCATTATAAAATATTTAAGCTAACGTTTACTACAAATTCATCGTGAAAGAAAAATACCTCCATAATTTTCCGCAGAATTGCCCATTGCCGCCTCATTCAAATCCCACCATTTTTTTAGAAGATTCATTTTTATTTTTAACTGGATGATAATAATTAATGATGCGGTTCAGAGGAATTAACATCTGGCATTAAAATCAAATCAAAATTTATCCAACGCACCGCATGATCGCAGCCTAGAATCAGTAGAAAACAAATATAGTTTGTATTTTTTGTTTATTGACTTTTCAAAGTGAAAACTCCTTTAGGCGCGTTTTGCACTTTTGCAACCTGTTAGATTTCTGATGTGTATCGCTCGGGTAAAGTCGACTGGAGTCGATGAATTGAAGTGTTTTTGCATATGGATTAAAATATCCCAAAAACTAAAAAACGGACCTACAAATTTTAAACGAGGGAAATGTTCATCATTTCATCATCTTTGTAACGAGATATTATTCAAAATTGCATCTCAACGCGACGCCGTGTTAGGGAGGCGAAAAGGAAAAAATAATGTTGTAAACCAAATGATAAACAGTTTACTTAGCCCCGATGAAGGCCTGAACTAAGGGCCGAAACGTCGGCAAATGTAAAAATAAATATTATTATTTATTTTTGCTATTTTTTATTTTGACTGATCACCCCAACCATCCTTCTCTTCGGTAACCAGTTTTATTGAAGATATGGATTAAAATATCTCAGAAATTAAAAATCGGATCTGCATAATGTAAGTGAGGGACATGTTGAGCTTTTCATTCTCTTTATAATGAAATATATTATTTATAATTTATATTTCATATTATTAATCTCGTCTTGTTGATGTTTTCACTTCTATCGTGTGGTCTAAAGCACACACCTTAGTTTTTTTTTTTTTTTTTACACGACAAAGTTTCAAAATTAAACTAACTGCATAAGAACTTTCTTAAATATATTATTAAAAAATATATAACATTTTGTAATGTAGAATACCACCAAACGATTTACAGTCATAAGGTAAAAATACATTTTAAAAATATAATATAATACATCCTGAGACAACCGAATCCAGAATTTTCCCAACGTTAAGTGTAAAAAAGCAAGAATTCTGTCCCGTCAATGGTGTTGAAAGCTCTGTCTGAACTTACGCTCAAGACCGAAAGATAAAGAATTAAATGGTCTTATTTAACAATAGTTTTCTGTTAATTGTCGTTTTCATCAACCAGATTTATAAAATACAGGCTTTATTATCGTTCATTCCTTCATTGTAATTCTATGTGAAAATAATTAAACAATTTTTATTACTTCCTCTAAGTTAAAAATCATCCTGCATACCACATAAAAACGTCATTAAATCTTAACCCAAAAAGTTTTTGATCTCTTTCATCTGACCTTATATCTTAAATTTAAAAAAAAATCAAAATATTGATTTTCAAAGGTTTTGCTTTTTCTTAGTAACCGGTGGCGGATATACAAACTGATAATTTTCGGCTGACCTGTGACAACTTGAATGCTGAGTCAAATAAAAATCTGTTCAGTGGTTTCGTAGAAAAGTAGCGAACAGGCTGATATTTTAAAATTAGATTTGTGGATTATATTTAAACGTAAAACCAAATATTTAGGTGGGACGTCAATTTTTCTTTCATATATATATATATATATATATATATATATATATATATATATATATATATAAGTAAACAAAGGTGGATTATTGAAAATGACAAAAGAAAAATAGATCATTGTTTTTATTGCATATTACGACATAGTGGAGTTATCAATAGAACGAGCTGGCCTTAATGCCCTAAAAAATATTTACCGTTGCGAGACCTTGAGGAAGTGCAAGATCAGCTGTCCCTTGAGCACTTGGGATAAGTAGGCTGTGGAGGTCGGCAGCTTCACCCTTTTCTCCTTTCTCTTAAATGCTCTCTAATCACCGCCTTGCAAATCACTATCACTCCTCATTAACCCGCTTTTAAGAAAAGATTTACAGCTTTGCTGTAAATTACACTTAGATATTTTTTCAAGGTCGAGTAAACTGTAGAAAATTATAAAAAAAGACTTGTGGTTAGAGGTATAGGTTTTTAACAAAGCCAGAGTATTTTTTAGGTTCGAACAGAAAATAAAAAACTGTTAGCTTAATCCGACAATCACAGGTCATAATTTTTTATACCTTGAATCCGAAAGTTAACAGTTTGAGACTCCTTCCTGATTAGATGCTCGAGGGCACATTGAGGAAAGCTAATCTGTCACCATTTCTAATTTGTTTTTATAAAAATTAAATCTTAAAAGAAAACGAGCACCTCTTCTTCATTTATTCACCGATCTGTGCACAGTGGGCTGTCTGAGCAATCTAGCGGGACTTAACTAAATACAGAGGAAATAATTGGTTTTCTTTTTCAAAATTGTGTCTACGGAATTAGAAAAAGGGAATTTAATTTCAGGAATGTTTTCGTAGCCCATCAAAAGATAAACTCCATAAGATATTTAACATCATAAACCTAAAAAATGGAAATTATTTTCTGGCAATGTTGGGCAAATATAAAATTTTTGGAGTGCACTTTTAAGGGATCTGTAGCTTAAAGCTTAGAGCTAAGAAATCATTAAGACTAAAATAATAGAAATCCTATTAATTATATCAACGGTAGACAATAAAAACTTCGATTACTCACTCTGTTTGTGTGCACCACATAACTCCAGTCTCTGAGCTAAAATATATGTGTATGTATATATATATATATATATATATATGCATACACTTTAAGAGATCTGAAAGTATATCTCTATATTCAAGCTATAAATGATTATAGATTGCATGCGTCTTAGTTATTAAACTATTATTTTCCATTACAAAGTTTACTAAAATGAAATTACAAGATTTTCATTGCCTGCCATAGATAGATCAAAAGTTGTCACACTATTTGTAAGTGTATACTATTCGTATTACACGAAGGGAAAATTCATCAAATTATTCACTAATTTAATTCTTTAAAGTCTACAAGATGTTTTTTTTCGAATAAACGAATGATAGAGACCTAATTATTTAAATATAATATCAGATCTAGAATTATTAAACTACAAAAAATGTATTTAAGGTTATAAACATATGCTTTATACATCCATGAAATATTTTTATATTCCACTTATTCTTTCACATAAGTACTATAAAATAGTTTTTTTAACAAGGTGGATTTTAAATACGTTTTTTTCAAACTTAAAAATGTTTTAAAAGTTTACATTTAGTTAGTAAATTTCATTTGATTTCCTTGAAAACATGTTATTTCCGTTAAAGAATATTAGTTTTCAGGAATTATTATTTATTTTTTAGTCACTCTCAATTGCATTCTACAACTTTATTTATTTGATATTTGACATTTATAAAAATGTTTGTGCATTATTAGTTATAAGCGATTAAATTGTTCTATAATGCTATATAATACAATAAATATTAATTTATACTATTTTGTTGATTTTTAAACTTATCACTGCGGATCCCAAACACTGTCAGAACCGTCCTTAGAGAGGAGTCGGTTGTGACATTATTTCTAATTTGCTCCTGAGATAACTTACTTATGGACAAAATTTTAGCATTTAAACGTAGTAAAGTGTTACTTTACGATAAACAACACCTTTTTTCTGTCTAGTATTTCCTAGAAGTTGATGGTGATTACATTGTATATTAGAAATAAAAAATAAACCTTACTGATAATACGCATTGTTTTTGCCCAAACAACAGGTATGTTTTTTTTATTCAAAGTGACATCATTCAGTCCTTGAAGTAAATATTGTAATCCAGTTTGAGTAAACACTTAACGGTTAGGGTAAATGAACCAGATATCAAGAGATCAACGGCATTTAGTTTGATTATGAGGTGATGCACATAATGCACGTGATATCTTTTCGCTTTAAAATAATTATTTAATTGTTAACTATGTCTGAGCGTTTTTTTTTTTATACATGGAACTTGGAGTGCATGCGATTTTCGTCATTAAATTTCCACAACCGCTGCACAGCAGGCTATCCATGTCTAACTAGCGGGACAGAAGTCAAAATATCGAAAGTTAATTCACTTATCGGAAATGGTTTTAAACGGGTGTTTACTCATCATCATAATTAGGAAAAAAAGAATTAGTCGGAAAAATACAAATAATACAGGTAAAAATGCCAGCAAACAATGAAAATCAATAGTCAGTTTTAATAGTAAAGTGTATTTGGTTTCAATAAATTTTTTTTTATTGATACAAAAAGTAATTGAATAAACGATCTAGAGATGTCTTGTTATCTTCTCTGAATAATTCGAAATAAATTCAACCTTCAGGACCTTTTTAATAAATGAGTGAGAGGATTTTCCATTATCATCCTTTTTAACAGGTTTATTTATTATTGCATTGGTTAACGTATTACATAGATTAATCATTAAGTAACAATCTGTGAATCTAAAAAATGAATAATTTTTTATTAATTTTTTTTTCGTTTTTTTTTTTGTTTTTTGTTACAGGGGCAATATTTGTTGTGAATTAATCTTTTAATTGTATCTAGAAACGTTGGCTAAATTAAAATAATCATTTTTCAGCAAATTAAAAATAATTTTTAACAAAAAAAATATATATATATTTTTAGTTTTTGTTTCTTGATTTATAAACTAATGTCCTTAAATGTAACAGATTGTAATATATCTGATTAAAGAATTTCCTCTTTTCCAAAATTTATTAATTAAGCTAGTTGTTTATGTTGATTTTTACTTTCACTTACCTATATATGTAATATATAGTAAAGGAAAGTATTGCGATCATAAAAATTTTCGAATTTGAATTTTCAACGGAAATACACGTTTTGAGGTACCGTGAGTCTAAATAACCCAGTCAAGCAAAATGGTCTGTGTCTGTGAACAGTCTAGCTCAAAAACAAAAATCGTACGAAACTGATATTACGTATTTAAGATAGGTATATGCCTTAGATGAGACAGCATCTTTTTCATTTAAATCGACTAACCGGAAGTGGCACTTTATATCAACGGTTATTCACATTTATACTATATTCTCAAAAACGGTTCAATCGATTTTGATTAAACTCGGTGTATCATTGTATAATTAATTGGCCTTTAATATCATTTAGGTCTTATCCTCGTTAATCTCGTTTTGCAGGACCTAAATGCCCAAAATTCAATATGTCTTCCTCTAGAGTACCTGTAATTTGGTTTATATTAAATAATTAACAGTCTCTCATTATTAAGAGTTATGAAAAAAGGCTAAATATAAGTTTTTGAAAGAATTTGATAATTGAATGAAGGAGGAAAAAAGAAAAATGCCAATCCGGGTCGAAAATGAATCTCCGGAAATAATAGTCAGAAGGTATACGTATAATATATCTTTGGAAAGCGGAGAATTTTAGAAAAAAACAATATCTAATATAGAATGTTGTAGGAGATAAAGGAGAGTGGTGAAATGATTATAAATAATAATGTCAGAAAATAAAATTATTTAACGTAAATCACATGTTTCCAAGGAAATTAAATGAAATGTTCTTACTATATGTAAACTTTTAAACGTTTTTCTTAGTTTGAAGTATTTAAAATTCACCGAATCAAGCCAATGCCATTGTTTAAAATACTATTTCATTGTAATTGTGTGAAAGGATAAGTGAAATATAAAAATATTTCATGGATATGTTTACCTACCTCAAATATATTTACTACAGAGTATTAACTCTAGATAAGACATTATATTTAAATAATTAGGTATCTATTGGCTGTTTATTCCAAAAAAATCATCATGTAACCTTTTAGAAAATTAAATTAGTGAATAATTGATTTTGATGAATATTTCCTTTGTGAAATCTCAACATTATCCACTAATAATTACTGTGACAACTTTTGAACTATCCATCGCAGGCAATAAAAATCTCGTAATTTCGTTTAGTAAAATAACAGTTTAATAACTAATAGTCCTACAATCCATAATCATTTATAGGTTAAATATTCAGATATACTTTCAAACCTCTCTAGCCATATGTGAGCCTTTCGGTTGACAGAATGACAAACTCCAATTTCAACATTCTTTATTATTAATTTTAGTGATGTTTCTAGTGGCAAAATGTATACCTTTATTCACAGTTCTATATTTCAACGCTGCAATCATCTGCTCTGGAATCAGTTTACTCACTGTCTGTATAGATATAACTTTTCCAACTAGAAATATCACTAAAATGGCATTATTAAAAAATGTTGAAATTTGAGTTAGTCATTGTGTCAACTGCAAGATTCAGAGAATGAAGTTGTGTGGTTTATAAAAGCAGATGGAGTAACTAGATTTTTATTGCCTACCCTCGATATAATAAATAGACTTTTTTTTTGTAATTTTAATGGTCTTAATGATTTGTTATCTGTAAGCTACAAGCTTTAGCTCTGTTTAAAATGCACTTCAAAAATTTTATAATAACCCAACATTGCTAGAAAATAATTTCTATTCAAAGCAGAGGGGTAAATGAAAGTTATGTGTTGCACGCACCAGATTTTTTTTAGATTTTAAATTTGAACACTTCTCAGCCCAACGTGTAATGTTACATTGACATAATACATTAAACATTTATCAAAAAACAACCTTGCATTGGCTAATCGGAAGGGAATATACTTACATGACAACGCCAGACTTCATGTTTCACTACAGACAATGTATAAACTAAACGAGCTGTGTTACGAAGTTGTTCCACACCCACCTTATTCGCCAAACTTGTTTCCAACAGATTTTCATCTGTTCAGAAATTTGATTAACTTCATGAAGATAAATTTTTTGAAAATGATTCTCAAGTAAAAACCGCATTTTCTGATTTGATTTCTTCATAAAACCCTGAATAAAAATGTTTTGATTTCACGAAATTGTTTTACTAAATAACAACCTTTCCTGTTATAAATGGCATTTCATATGAAACGACCAAATAATTATTTATATCACTTAGGCGTTCCAACGAAGGCTGTCTTTCACGTCAGGGCTGAGCTCCGGAGGTCGCAGTCAAGCCAATAACCATCCTGAAGACCACGGCCAGCCATCTTCTCTTCCACTCCATATATCCATCTTTTCCTGGGTCGTCTCGCCTCCATCTTTCATCTTCCGGCGGTTGCCTACCTAGGATTCGGTTAGGACATCGCTCGGTAGACATTCGTCTTACATGGCCGTACCAAACCAGTATGCGCCGTCCAATTATCTGGTTGACGGATACAAGAGCCTCCGTCCTGCCCTTAACGACCTCTATCTATCCTTGTGACATGTAGGCATCTCCCCCAAAAGTCCATTTCCACATTGTACGTTTGAATATAGCTGGGATGACATGGTCTAGGTTTCTGCCAGATGAGTCAGGATGGGTTCTACGATGGCGTGGTATCCTTCGCTTGTTTTCTTTTAGAACTCCGTCGTTCCAAACCATTCGTGTGGCTTTCCGAAATCGCTCCACCTTTCTCCACACACCATTTTCTGAGGATCCCGAGGAATCAGTGTAAGATCCCAGATATTTAAATACATCCATCTACCTTTGTACAGGTATGAGAGTCGACACGAAGATTATCGACATCTTCGGTGCAGATGGTCTCTGATAAATTCACCTTAAGCATTTCAATAATTATAAAACATATTTTATATATTTTTTATAACCTTACTATACTCTTAAAACAAATGTGCCAGTAAACTTGGAACCTGTAGGGACCGTTAGTGGCAATAAACGTTGGGAAGCAAAATATAGATTTTATCGTTTTATTTGACGTCAAAGATTAAGATATTTTGCATGGTTCCTCAAATCAAGGTTAAGTTACAGTATATGAAAGAAAACGAATATTTGGACTTCTTTCAGTTATTGATTTATTATTGATAACTCCAAATCGATGCTTCTTGAAAAAAAATTTTAATTTTAACAATTAGAGAACTTTCGAAACGTTGAAGCGTGCCTAATATTATAAACTTTTAGATCTAGATCCAATTTTGTTAAGTGTTTTATCTTTGTATTTTTAATATTAAAACAGTGCAACCTTGAGAAAATTTATTATTTTAGCTAGAGCAAATATAATAAATGTCAGTAAAAATTATATTCACACACAATTACACAAAATCGAAGTCGCAGTATTACCACATTTATCTGAATATTATGTTACTTATAACCCATGGAAACGACTGTTTGAAGTTCAAAAAGACATTGAGTATTTAGAAATCTTAATAAGTTGATAAGCATTAAATTTTTTGTCGAATAGGTCCTAATTAGTCGAGATTGATGATCGAAACACAATAATTTAAAACAACTTATTCAAATTATCTAATATATTTTCAAGTTTATTTATTATAAGTCAATTTTACATCAATTTTTAAAATTTGTCAACTTAGCATCTGTGTGACAGATGTGTAGTCATTAAGTTGACAAAATTAAAAAATTGGTATAAAATTGGCTGATAATAAATAAACTTGAAAATAAATAGTATGAACCGATTATCTAATATAGTTCGCATGCACTGCGGAAACGGCTCTTATAAATTTAAAAAATAAGTTAGAATTAGACATGTTTATCATCATTTTCAGTCTTTTTTTGTTTTGATTAAGATAGTCGTTTCCATGGTACATGCATTTTGAGCAAGGTTGTTTACATTTAATACACACATTTTAATTATTTTAAGACCAAATAATTTTAATAGATAATTAATATTATTGATTTATATAGTTTTTTTGATAAGTTGAAATACAAAAAAAAGGTTATTAAACCACAATGACGAATACATTTGGCATTTTTTCCTCGCAGAATGGCAAAGTTATGCACTTATAAGCACATACAGACGTTGTTAACCTTGTTGCCTAATAAAGGAATTACTAAAAGGTAAACATGCACTCTCGGGTGAATGTCCGAAGCGTGGACAGAGGTAGACGTAGGTACAGACGTAGGATCGTATTCAGTCTTTCCAGAACTGGAGTTTGACAGAGGTCGGTGAATGGTGGAAGATAGGCAATGACTGAGATAGTTATTTTGCCATATAACCTTCTGGTGCACTAAACCTTTTATTATTAAAACTAATAAATATATAAAATGATTGAGTTATCAAATGAGATTATGATTGTTGAATAATTGAAAGTCTTATGTTTTATAGGTAATGACTTCGAAGGAGGGACTGAAGAGGAAGATATTAGAAGAAGCTTCGTTTCCGAGGAAGAAGATGCGGACGATTTTTTTTCGGAGTACGGTGCATGGAACAATAGAGAGACCTCCGGCATCGGCAGCGCAAGTGAGCTTAACTTGCAGATTGAAAGATGCAGATTTGGAGGAAAACAACGCAGACCCCACGATCTACACGACGTTCGATGCAAGCCCTTCGTATTGTATCGTAACGACGTTACAGAATAGCAAGCGGTTGTCTATTTACGAGCCTGACTAACTTAGCTCAGCTGAAACTTTTAATATATTACCAGATTTTATTTACAAAATTTCACGAAGCAGAATAGGCGTGAAATTTATGATGATTTTAAAAATATATACTATTTCCATTGAAAGAGTTTGTGTATATAGGTGTATAAAGTTTTTAAATAAATCTTTTTTTAAACAATACACGGTAAGTATGCAATTTGGACTATATCTGTGATGATAAAAATGTTTTAATAAAAAAGACAAACGCACGTTTCGTTCTAGAATCTTAATCGTTATCCTAGACATCATCCGCACATATGTATATACACATACACAAAAATATTACAGGGTTTTATGTTCATTTGACAATGGAATCACAAATTCAATAAAAAAACTTCAAACTCTAGCTGAAATTGCTTGGCAACCGGCAGTACTCATTCTTCTCCTCCTATTGGAGTTAAAACGGGCAAAGAAGTATTTGTTCAAGTGATTGATTTTTTGCACTATCTAAATGACAACTTAAGGCTTGATAGCCTGATTACAACAAAAATTAATAAGAATTTGTATTTAATTCACTCTTATTTCAGGCTTGAATAAAAGTAATAAAATGAATAAAAAAAGATTAAAAATGCCTATTATCGGAAATATTTATTATTGCTATTGGTTAATAATTTCGCTAATATTTTATAGTCAGTAAAGTGTAGTGTAGATATTTGATGAACATGTTTTAGTCCACAGGGAAATCTTTTCTATTCATTTTACTTATGAAAGATAATTGTATTTTATTTTCAATATATTATTTTTAATGAAATTTATCGAGCTTATTAATACCAAATAATAGAAAGCGAGAGACTTCTTAAAATTAAACTCTGTTTACACTTTATTTCTTTAAATGAATGGCACCAAAATAATGATGAAGGAAGGAATATAACAAAGAAAAAGTAAATGTTCCCGACGAAATATGAAATACTACAGGCCTCTCATTTTTATTCTCTAAGTTAAGCTGTTTTGTTTTTATCTATTCTTTAATATTAATTTTCAATAAAACATTTATTCTTTTATGGCATATGATTTCTAAATAACAGTTATTTTACTAAACGTAACTGTTACTAAAAGTGATTAGCGATAATTTAGTAAAAAAATGTGTATAACCGTTGATATAAAGTGCCACTTCAGGTTAGTCGATTTTAATGAAAAATGTGCTGACACATCCAAGCCATACACCTATATTAAATACGTATTATCAGTTTCGTACGATTTTGCGTTTTTCGGCTAGACTTACCACATACATACACACACACACCATTTTGCGGGACTTGGTTATTTAGACTCAGGGGACCTCAACACGTGTATTTCCATTGAAAACTTTTTTTTTTAAATTTATTTATTGAGTATTACAACAATCTGTCTCTTGGACATTGGTTATAGTGAGGTAGGGGGCGGGGTGGCCGAACAGGCTAAAGCGTGTGTAACAGCACAGCTAGTTGCCTGGCAACCGGATAACAGAGATTTGAGATGATATAAAAAGTACGAGTTCGCGTCCCGATGCCGGAGGGGATTTTAAATTCCCCCCCGGGAAAATCCCGTATAGCCTAAAAGGCGAGGTAGGGAAGAACAAAAAAAAAAAAAAAAAAAAAAAAGAAGTTATAGTGAGGTAAGATAACATTCACACTATATGTACAAAAAATGTAAAATAAATAGAAGCAAATTAATAATCAAAAGTATATACAATAAACGATAAAATAAAATAAGAAAATCGAGAGTTAAAAAAGAAAGTTGGAAACTAAGTTTCGAAAATTTTCAGGATCGCAATACTTTCTTTTACTATATATTACATCTGTAGGTAAGTGAAAGTAAAAAGATACATATATTCCTATAAACAATAACAACCTAACTAATGATGACAGTTTATTGACGAGTACTATTACTGGTAGATATATTTTTATTTTTCAGTGGTTAATTTGAGAGAAAAATTTCCGCATAGGTACGCCACTACCTTGTTCTTTCATTACAAAAATATGCAATTACTTAATCTTAATTTGCATCAAAATCCCATTTTTAACTTGAATTAAGGGAATGCCGTATCACTGATAAGAACTGTGACTAAATTATCCAGTAATTATTCTGAATTTCATTTCTTTATTTCTATCCTAAATTTAAAGACTTGATATTTTTCTTATGTTCAGTTGGTTCCTGTTCGTGTAATTTAAGTCGAAATACATGTTTAAAAAATACTATCGTGAATATTGATATATATTTTCTAGAACAAATAAAGTTTTCATATGTCTTTAATAATCATTTAACGGTGAAGTCGTGTAACTGTATCACTTCGAGCGTAAGGTTTCCTCCAGTCATAAACAACTATTTCCGACCCAATCAAAATATTTATTCGATTTTCGTGACGGATGTTATTAGTTTTAATGGGCGGCGTAAATCGATAGCCGAGGCTTGTAAATTTAGCACAATAATAGTTTTAGAATAATGGTCCCCTATTCTCTTTGTTCCGACATATCGTGGGTGGCCAGTTCTGAGAAGTACGTGGGTCGACTGCAACCTTATGCCACTTAGATTAGTTCCAGTGCCAAAGTGGATATATTCAAGACCTCAACTATATAATCAATTTTAATTCTACACGAAAATGCAACTGACAAAAACTCAAATAGATCCTGCAGCTAAAGTATAAAAAAAAATCATTAATTAGCGTATTCCATCAAATTCAAGATACATTATTATTTTTTTTTAAACAGAGTCTTATATTTAATCTGAAATTAGATTTATAAAAAAATATATGAATGTATTTTTAAAATAATACTAAATCGGTCTCCACAGTAAAATATCAACCCAAATCTTTATAACAACAAACAATTTATACAAAAATATTTGCATCGTTTTGTGAAATAAACAAAAAAATAGGTATTTATTTTGATGGTATGTACTTTTTTTTTTTTTGTGATATTTAATATCTTAAAGACTACAAAATAAACTGATGTGCAAAAACTGTTATTTCCAATGTAAAGAAAAAAAAAAAATCGCCTTTAATTCCAGGGCATCTTATATTTATTCCATGTACTTTCTACCCCTAACTTTGTTATCGCTATTTACATTAGTGTGTGTGTGTGTGTGTGTTTGCGTATAACATTTAATCAATAATAGTTGGAGGTTATAAAAGAACCACAATAATCCCACAATTATATTTGAACATTAAAAAATCTTTAACTTGAAGAGAACTTTATTTTATATATAATATGCTGTTTCGGTTTCAAGCCGTTTTCAAAAAATGTAAACAAGAAAATTTTTAACACATAGTTTCATTTTAGATCATTTGAAAATGACTAATAAAGAGCTGCTGACAAAAACTGCATGTAGTTCAAAGCCAGCCTCTACACAATAGGATCCCTCAATAGTAAGGAAGAGACCACACGGAAGGACAAAAAGCCGATGAATAGATCTATCAACAAATATAGAGCTCATTGAAGAAATAGATATGCTGAGATGGAATTGGATTGTTAAGGCTGCAAAAGATCGGTGAGGTCTGTAATGCTAATAGAAAAAAAAAACAACAGGGTAATAATTTGTTGAGTGCCTTTTCTCAGAAAAAGTAGCAATTATAATGCAATGAAATACCTGATCGCAGAAAAAAATAGTAATAACTCTTAAAATATTCTTGATAACAATATACACAAATAAAATAGACTATACACAACTATTTTATAACTGCATTCTAAGTCTTATAAAAATGCTTCATGGAGTTGGAACAACGGCACATTTTATCTGGTCGCCTGCCCATATAGGAATTAAAGGAAATGAAATGGCTGATAGAGCAGCAAAAGAAGCTCTTACTCTTCCAGGGCGCGGTAAATTTTTTTGATACCATCTGAACTTACACGACCTCTGAGAGAAACCATATTCCAAGAATGGCAAAGACGGTGGGACAACAGCGCACCTAGCAAATTAAAAACAATAAAGAAAGAGGTGCAACCGTGGACCAGCTCCAGACGCAGCAGTCGTAGAGAAGAGGTCGTCCTCACGCGGCTGAGAATCGGACATACTAGACTGACTCACCTCCACCTCATAAAAAAGATTCTATCCCCAGATGTCAAAAGAGTAACCAATCACTAACTATAAAACATATTTTTGAAGAATGCCCTTTTTACACCGCAAGATTAAAAGATCTCGGAATACCCCGGAATATATCAGCATCCCTGGGAAATCAAGAAGAAATCGTTACCAAAGTCATCAAGTTCCTGGATAGTGAAAGACTTAAAAAACACATTTGACAGGCTTATTATCCTTTGCAGATTTACTATTATTTTTTTATTTATTAATTTTGTTTATGTATATTTTTATTCTATTTTCTCTTATTATTATTTTTTTCATTTGATTTCATTTCATTTTAAATTCATTTGTTTATTAATCTCAATTCATTTATTAATTCTACTGCTATTTTTTAAAGTTTATTTTTTTATACATCTTATTACCTATAAATGTATATTATTATCCTTATTTATTTATTTTATTATATTTATTTATTATTTTATTTATTCTATCAATCCATTTCTTTATTTTATTTCTTTATTTTTTATTTTTTTTGTACCAATCATCCAAATAGTATTAAGTGATGTCATTTAGCTGATCGGGCGCTTATGACCTGGATGTTTTGCGCCTAGACATCGAAACAAACAAACAACTATTTTAATATTCTTAAATTGTTTATTAAACAAAAAAGAGCTTTATTTTTCAAACAAATGTAATGTCTGAATTCGGTGAAATAAATTGAAAATAAAATTATTCATGACTTGTGATACTAAATATAATTTAAAATATGCTTCAAGGATTTGATCGATCACTGTTCGCACTCAGTTGAAAACAAAAATTGTTAACATTATCAGACGGCTGACAGTTTGGACAACGTTGATAGGAAAAGTCAACTTGACCTGATAATTTTGAATTGGCTTCTCAACAACGAACAATAATATCGTTCATCGAAAAATGTAATCAATTATTTGATTTGAGATACAGATGAGTTA